TTTAAATACTAAAAGAGAGAAAAATTAAATATACAAGTGGGGGACGAAATCAAAACCTGCAAAGAAAAAATAATACATCATTCTAGGATATGCAGTAATTTGTGAAGTGGAAGTTAGGCAAGTCAGCAAAATCTGAAAACAAAGTACCCTGATATATCAACGGAGGAGAATCAAGCCAAACAAATTAGGAGAAGACATGCCTATTAGCAAGGCTATACACAATGACATTCCCCTCTCGAAAGATGTGAAAGAATAAAAAGTCATCTCGTAAATGCAGGCCAAACAAGTAAACCATTGTGAGCGAAAAACCCATGAAAGATCAAAATTATTCGAATGGAGAATGAAAATAACACTAGAATAATCACATTCTAACCTAAGATAATGTCAAATCCTATAATAAGCAAATTGAACACCAATAATAATTACATAAAGTTCTGCAAAGAAAAAAAATTAGAATAGTCAACACCCTATAAAAAACTAGTCAGAAATCGACCACGACGATCCTAAAAATGCCACCACAAGCTGCCGCCCCAAATTTTTTTTAGACAAATCATCCATAACCAAAATAGTCTTGTACAATATGCTTTAAATTTTAAATTTATTTATATTTCATCAGATTGTCATGATTTTCACCCAGTAATGATAATGCGAGAGATAATACGGGAGATACACACACACACACACACACACACACACACTAATTTTATATGATCAACTAGCCAGCCATTAATTAATTTAATTATTCAGCAATCATCTATTCATGTGATGAAAGACAGAAATCATAACTAAACTACAAAGTTAATTAACTGCTTCAGAATGAGCACAAAGAAGATCCTATACTATTTGCTGACAAGACAGCGGATCGTGGGGCTAGTATTTTATTGATCAACACAAACCAATACAAAGGTGATAATTGAGTTCATTGGATACAGTACCTAAGAAATTGATTTGGAGTGAATTTGTACAAACGAACAACTACAGTAAGACCCCATATGGCTACTACATGCATGAAACTACAAATGTCACCTAATACAAAATTGTCACAAAAATCGATACGCAACAAATCCGCATCGGCAACCACACCAATCATCGTTGACTAACGAGGCTACATAAAGTCATCGTGGAAGAGTTAAACCATGTAAAGTCATCGTTGGAAGACGAGACCACAAATCTCGATGCTCATAGGCAAAAACCACATCTAGCCATTGCCGAAGCACGACCACAACACTCACTAGGCGAGATAACAAAACTACATTATTCCAACCTGACTTTACAAAAACATTATTATCGCTGAAGCGCGACCACACCACATGAGGACATTATTATTACTGTAATAAGTTACAAAAACATTGTCCGACCAAAGAGTACCAATACCATTTTCTTTCTTAAGAATATATACCGTAGACTAACCTGATTTTTAGAGGATTATATTCTATGGATACAATGGTTGTAGTATATATGGTACTAAGTGGAATACAAATTGGCTTATTGGGTTGCATGGAGCCAATTGTAATACTTCAAATGACTACATGGATTGGAGAGGCACTGGCAAGCCTGCAGGACCATAACAACAAATAATACCATAGATCAATGTCTTGGTGAGTCATATGCATGTGAATTATTAGATGGTGAAGATGGCAAAACATATCATCACTCCTGCGAAAGGTGCAGATACATCAACCTAAGAAAACGTTTTTCTTCATGTCTGTTTTGGCTGCATTTTGAAGAAAGCAGAAATCTTCACATTGCTTCATTTCATCAAATACGTCAAACACACTTTTCATAGACTAAAAGTTTCGATTTGACATGTTCGTATCGAAGCCCCCGGGCCACTACAATGTTGCATCACAGTAGCCATGAAAAATATCAAAATACCCTCATATATGTATATGCCCTAACTTGGAGAGACACTCTTTGATCATCATTTTATCACGCAATAAGTGTTTATTGGACAATTAACTTACATTTTAACCAAATAGAAAACATCTATTAATTGAATGATGACGCCACTAAAACTAAATCTTGATTGTAGACTGAATGCATCGTGCATGCATGCATGTACTATCACGAATAAAGAAAAGGGCCGCTACTGCAGAGAAAAAATGAAACTGAGAGCATGTGGCAGCTACAATCATGCTATGTAAGGGGGACATGACAATGTAACATATTCTAGCATGTTAAAAGCTTTGCATGTGCAGTGTGTACTAATACCCATTAAATTAAAAGATTGAAACGAAGAAACAGAAGAGGGGAAACATGATTTGGAGGTTGGCATTTTGACAATTTATATAGGAGAGCGAGAATCACGAATTTTTCTGCTTAACAAAATGATGAACATGCCTCCTGTTTTGTCATGAATCAAATTATCAATCCTTTCGTACTTTGTTTTTCTAATTGGTTTTATTTTTATTTTTTTATGTGCACTAGAATTCACGATAATTTTAGATGCATTTTTATATTTTTACAGTAGTTTAGGCATACATTAATAATTGACAATCGTTCACACGCATGTGATTCTAATTAAGCATTTTTCTTTTCGGGGCTTTTGTCTTTTACGCCATTGCCCTAATTAAGCATTTCTCTTTCATATGTCATGTTTCTGTTCCTTCTTAACATAACATCCTCACGGATTAAACCTAACCCACGATCTATGCTGGTTTTGGAAGAAGCTATCATTGTCGATCATGTCATCATTGGGCTCAAAAACGATTTTGGTGCATAATATTTCTTCAAGCTCAGACGATATTCGTGCAGCGCAGTGTGAATCAAATTTTGGTGACTCAACAGTGACCTCCAATCTCTGCTGATTTATGCGTGGTTAGTGATCACTTGAGGCCTTGAGGGATAGATATGGCGGATTCTCAGATCTGGGCGTGGTGCCAGAAAAGCTTTCACAAAATAGAGCCAAGCAGGCTAAATTGCAAGTACAAGTTTCGCATATCATTGCACCATTTGGGTTAAGATATGGAGCAGCACGATGGCCTAATAGTACACTTCCCAAAGCTGCGTGCGGGCATCAGTTGGCACTGACACTTTGGATATATAGGCCACACGAAGGCTTAAATATTAGTTGCTGTAGTTAGGTCAGATGAGGTTTCAGAGGTATCAATGTGTATGTGTGAGATGATAGTGATCGATTCTATTGGCTAGAAACAATGGCAGATCCAGAATTTCAAGATCGAGGGGTCCTAACATAAAAGCTTAATATATATATATATATATATATTAATTTGGTTCCATATCATTATTTTTTATTGAATTTGGTTCCTTGAATAAATCAGTATTAATCTCAAAGGTAATAAAACCAACAAATTCTCCTCACCAACATAACGCAACTAGTGACTCTACAAAGATAAAAGTTGTTAATGTAACATATATCTTATTAATTGGGAGTTGGGACTATAGAATCTAGGATTAAAAAACTTACATAAATTTGGAAGAAATAAAATTAGGCAGCTAAAGGCGGTGGAACGGCAAATGGTGGTGGAGAATAGGGTAACTTGGGTTTAAAGTTGGAGGGTTGGGACGATTGGGGCTGGAAGTTCTTAAATATAATTTAGGGATACTGGAAAATACCGGAGTTCTTAGGCTCTGTAGAGAAAACAGAGATATTTTAGTTTTTAAATTTTTTATAATGACCTGGCTAAAAAACATTGTTGTTTTGGTTAGGTCTTTTAAAACAAAAATTAAAAACCTCTTCTTCTTCTTTGTTATAAGCATTGCTGCATGCACATCCATGGAGGCAACTAGCCTCTCCACTGCACCCAAGTTATTGGAGGGTCCCGAAGGTCGATCAAAAGTGTTTCTTCGGACTTCCGAAATGTCCCGAGACCCCCCGAGTCCCTATATGGATCCGCCAGTGGCTAGGAACCAACCAAGAACAAGACAGCATGAGGGCTTGTTTGGCTTATTTTATGGTGTTGTCTAGTTCTATTTCGACTAGATTCTTATTGTTGAATTGGCAACCAGAATTTCGGGTGTTAGAATGAATATTTTTAACCAGTTAAGCTTCAAGTTGTCGACCCTTTCAAGAAGTTTAAAAGTTTTAAATCAAGCCGTTTTCTATATGAGCCAACACAAATTTCATCCCTTGGCACATTATGATATGTTTCATCTACATTCCTTTCGTGATTGTTAAATTAAAAACATATATCGGCGAGATAAAATAACTAATATACTGTACTTTATAATATGATTTGTTGTCCGCTTATATTATAACATATGAATTAGTAATATCAAATGTGGTGTCACGAACACGTACAAAACTTTATCATTGAGACTTGTAACAACCCTTGAGGAGATTGAATAGAGATCTATGAATCATATCTTTATGTTCCATTCGTGTCAATTTATCAAGGCAATGACACTTAATATTCCTAGACCAATTAATCTTTTATGGATCAAAGATCCGTTAATCTCATCATATGCATTAGGGGTGTTAGCTGTGAGCCTGTGTACAGGCCTGTAGGGAGTAGGGCTTTTCCTTAGCCCTGACTCTTGAGTCCATTTGAACCCCATAGGAATCAACACTCCAGACGGATTTCAATTTTACGACGGACGCGAGTAAATAATTTTGGAAAAAAATCACAATAAAATTACATGAATCAAATATCATATTCCACAAATGGTCCATGCAGTGATAGAGTAAACGGAAGATAGTCTTGTAACAAAAGAATTAAGATTAAAACCCTCGTGGTACAAACTGTTAGTAGTTTTGCTCAAAAGTGAGATTTTGCTATTTGTAGGCAAAGATTACCGTGTAATAGTTAAGAAATATATATGTACGGGTTAATTACATTGCACCAATCTTTAAGTTCAACAGAGTTTAAGTTCACTTTTGTTTCTAACATACCAGGATGCCATATGGACAAAAGATGAACTTTCTTGAAAGAAAGTCCTTTTAAGTTTTATCATAAATTCAATTGGCAAAATAAGAAGTAGCCAACGTCTTATAAGCACACTCAACGTCCCTTAATTCCCCGATTCACACTCTCATCAGATTACAAGCAATGATTTATCTATTATTAATACCATATTTGACAACCAGAGAAAAAAATTCAACGGTAGTGTAAAAAATATAAAGTACTAATACACACTAAATACAAACTCAACTGAACCAAACCCTTCAATACATCATTTTGAAACTAAAAACATGAAATGTGGGAGTCCAGACATGGTCAAATGATCTAATACAATATAATGACGATTATGTCCATCTATTGCGTTGATTCTGATGACGATGAAATCATTTGAAGGTTCCGAGACCAACAGCAGCCTCTCCCCCGTATGGCTGGAAGCTTTCCCTGGCTCTGGAATAGCAAACATAGTAGAACTCAGAAACAATTGTGGTGAGGAAAATGAAGGCTGCCCCTGCACCGAAAACTCCCCTTCTTAGTTGCTGGCAATCCGGAGGGCTTTCGCTGAAAATGGTCCTGTACTTGGTGTGGTATGCATTCCTCACCGAACCCGCCAACAAGCACACCTCAGCGATTAAGAAAAATACCCTGGTAAGAGTAACATCAAGAAGTGTAAGTACATCATATCTATATGACAATCCATTGCAAGATGTGAACCTTAAATTTTGGTGTCGAACTTAAAATCTAAACTTAGTATGCATTTATAAGAAACAAATGTGTTGATCTAATTAAATCGACAAATTATACTCAATCCATTTGGCAACAGTTTTTTCAGTATGCTATAAATCTTACCAGCAGATTATGAAAAGGATAACTGCCCAGGCTCTTGACCCTCCAGGCCTCAATGGCTTCCCGCAACAGAAGCATCGGCTTGCCACCATTATAATGAGCTGACCTACCAAGAAGAACAAAAATGCACCAACCCCGTAGCCAGTTGCTATGTCTGACTCATAGACACAGTAGTTGTAATTCACCTCAGTATCCTGAACGACCTTTGCCTGCCAGTAACAACACAGATAAGACTGTTAGTTAGCAAGGACTACATCGTACATCAGATACGAATGCACTTCTTTTATGCTATTATGTTGAGGATGAATAAACCAGTTTAGATGTGAATATGATGAATGTAAAACCGGTTTACTTTAAGGTCTCGGTTCGATTACACAAGGGGTTGAGTAAAATATATAATTGCGTCGTGCGAAGCTATGACAATAGCAAACAAACATTAACTTTTGAGAGAAGTAAATATGTATTACGTACTGTATTATTTGGCTCATGTCAAGATTTCAGTTATTCAATTTATGGTGGGGAAGGGAAAGCTCTGTGGAATCTTACTTCCTATGCTGACTGAGGTACGGGGCTAAATCAACAACAAATTATAAGAAGGAAGTTTTTCGGATACAAAATTAATCACAACTCTTTTATTTTTTGTGTGTGATACAAGCAATACTGGGGGAACGGGGAATTGAACTAAGAACCTCGGTTGCTAGGGTGCATGCTCTTAACCAACCGAGCTACAAACCCCATTGCAATTAATCACAACTCTCATGCTCAACCAACAATTCTGAACGAAAGAGGGCGACTTTTGAAGTTCTTTGTAAATAAACTCTCTTATTTGGCTCGAAAATCTCCCAAAACAAGTTTTTTCATTCAAGAACACCAATTTATTCAATTACATTTGCCTGAATATGTTTCAGCAATCATTACAATTTGCTCCAACAAATTCTCCAAGAAAATCATATACATGAACAGAAGAACAACACTACAAGAAAACAATCAATATCAGTAGATCTGGCCATGGAGTCAAATTATTTGTATCAGCAAGAACACAATTTTATTGCCTATCGCATTTCTGATTGAACCCATATTTTTGGGGCCCGATGTGATCAGAATATCAAAATTAAAATCTAAAAGTATTAGGCCAATCAAATACCAAATGGGTTGCTTTTATTTTCTTTAATCCCCAAGAATTAAAACAGAATGCATCGAGTTTCCAGCATTTTCTCAGCAACCAAACATAATATATCAGCAAAAGGACAGATATTGCACAATCCCAGAATCAAAATTCAATTGTCTACAAACAGATCCATTAAAAGACAATTTTCATAGCTTAAGAAAAAGGGGAAAGAGAGAACTTACAGAGCTTCTTCTCTGCTCAGCTGCAACAGCAAGCCCAAAAGCAATGACATTGAGGATGAAGACCGTAATCAGTAACAGCTTGGATGCCATGGCTTCAAGAACTCACTCACTTACTTCCCAGATCTCTCTCTCTCTCTCTCTCTAGTCCACACTTTGTACCCTTTGTCTATCTGTTTCTTCCTCTAAATACAAAATCCAACTCTGAAATGTATTGAATAAGTGAAGAAATATTTAGAAAAAAAAGAAAAAAAGAAGAGGAAATAATAAAATAGTGAATAGATTTATTACCATCAGAAAGCTATCTGCCACCAGTTGAGTGACTTGAAAATGGGTTTATCACCTGGTTAAATTACCAAAATAGCCATTGTTGGTCAAGGGAATATTGGGAGTTAAATTTCTCTTATGTATTCTATTTTATATCAGGAATAACGGTGAAAGACAAAATCAGATTTAGGATTTCAAACTTAATCATTTAAGCTGCATAATTTTTATTGATATTGTGTTAAAAAAACTAATAAAGTTATGTGTGTTCGATGAAATTAGTGGAGGATTCAAACAAAATGAAAACATGTTGTTTGAGCTCATACTGAATAGCATATTAGCGTTGTCTAACAAAAAACAACTTCAACGTTTAATTTATATTATTTAATTTGAAATTCTGCCATCCATTTTCTCACTCTATAAATTTTGTAGAGTTTTTATCACATGTAAAGTGAAAAGCTAGAATGCCAGTAATTTTGGATAATTGATTTTTTTTAAATGAATAAATTAAAACGATGGTTGTCATTTGAATCTCAATGACAGTATGTTAATTCGAATTCCTCACGCTACTTACAAGTTTTCAATGAAAAAGGCTCCATCATCAATTAATGCTGGAAAATGATATATAAACACAATGTGCACATGCAGCAAGACTTTCATGTCACAGTTGGACATCCCAAATAATCACTTTTTATATTTAACATATTTTTCTTAATTATGTCTCAAAGAAGCCAAGAAAAGCTTGGCCTTTTATTGGTGGAGGGGTAAATTTGGCATACGATGGATTTAAAGGATCCATACCACACCAGAAAGCGTTTCATATGAATAATGATGTAATCAATATTGTCGGTGAGGGGTTCTTTGTGTAGTAGTTGTTGACAGGGATAGAGGAGAAAATTTTAATTGTAGCGGAATACAAATGATAAATTATGTGTTTTAATAGAAGTGGTGAAAATTTTTATTTTTTAAGTTATTAACTTTTTAGCATATATAATTCATTATTTTTATAGTAGCATGTAATATACCACTCAATGTACCGATCACATTGAAAAATATCTAGAGAGAGAGAGAGAGAGAGAGAGAGAGAGAGAGAGAGAGAGAGAGAGAGAGAGAGAGAGAGAGAGAGAGAGAGAGAGAGAATCAATGGATGCTTCTTAAGCGTATAAAGGCCAGCAGGCTTTTTCATCTACAAGATAGATCAGATCCAACGGCTGATGTTGCGGTATTTTTGGGACGCGTGAAGTGCTCGAAAGAAAGAAAACAAATTAATAATTTTTCCGTCATTTATCATTACTTGTAAGATAAAATACAACTTAAATTGAAAACTTTATTCTTTTTTGAAGATTAGAACCTTGCTTTCAGTGTTTGCTCGTCTTTCACCGTCTCCTTTCTGCACTTATACCCTACCCTACAACCTGTGCTTTATTCACTGTGTCCTCACCTTATCTGGTTCGATAGATTCGGTGGTTAACAAGAAACACGAACATGGTGAGATTGGGCGTTAAATAATCGACAATGGAGGAGTCAAGATTTCGTGTCAAGAGAGGCCTCTTATAAATGTAGAACTATTTATAAAATTACCAACTCAAAACACCATAACATATATCTAAATTCCAAGTAATCAAAAGTTAAGATTAACATCTGCTTCGATAATATGATCTATTCACAATAACCATAATTATCCTCAACGAGTTTTTATATTTTGTAACCGTTGCATGGTATCATCTATACTATTAGAAGAATTATTAAACCCATTAGAGAGAGAACTAACAAAAAATTTGCAAACCTTAACACAAGTGGTAGGATGCAGTAGAAAGGAATCATAGTTTGTAGAGAATAATGAAGCTTTACAAACCATCTTCTTTTAATCTCAAATGGAGAAAGATTAGGCGAGATTAGTTTTTTGGCAATGGTCGTTTGCGAGACACCTACTCTTCCCCGAAAGAGTCGAGACCATTACACCTAGAAACCCTTGCCGATCCCTTCTCCACCAAATTTATTGATAATAAATGAAAGTAAACGAAAAAGATACATGCGGAGGGACTATGCCAAGATCCACAAAGAAAAATCTATCAACCAAAACAATAGTAAAGACAACGAAATGTCACAAGCACGAGCAGATGCTACAAAATCTAGAATTGTAGACCATCAATAATAAACATAACTATATGTCCCAAATGAAGCTAAAACATCAGCAACCTGGTTTCCTTCTATAGATATGTGTACACATAAATTGCATTTAACTAAGTCATCAGAGACAATTCTTCCATTCCACCATCAGAACCACATGACCTCATTAGGAGCCTTAATTAAAAAGATAGTGAATAACTAACATGGAGTCTGTTTCAGTCCATAAATATTTTCAATACCCAACCCAAGCTATTAGCACGACCTCAATGAAAGCAAGAATTTCTGCAGCAACTGAACTTACAAATTTTGTGTTTGATGCATAAGCACCAAGTGGCCCACCCTCCGATGAGCAAAAAATCCCCGCAAATCTAGCACGTTCATTGGCACAAGACCTATCAATGTTAACCTTGAGCCACTTGGCCATTGACAACCTTTATATGAATGGAATAAAAGATGGAGCCACAATAGAAAGAGACGAGATACCCAAGATTGAGAAAATAGGCAACATTGAAGAGGAGCTATCACTCGAAAAACACTCTAGAGTCGAGTCACAAAACCGAGCTGCTAGTCAGCACTTCACATAATCTAGGAAACCAAAATTGCCCTCAAACCAAATTTGATTGCGAAAGCCCAATATAAAAGTACAAGCCACTATAATTCAAAGTTTTCGAGTAAAACCATAAAAAGTTGTAAGAAAAGTTTCAAAAAAAAAAAAAAAAAATTGTACGAAAAAACTCCAACAACCAAGATCACAGAGTCAAAGACCCACTGTCCAAGAACATTCCTAAACAAAAAAAAAAAAAAATGTAAGAAATAGATTCAACAGCTGAATTACGAAATGAGCAACGAGAAACCATCGAAATTCCCATCTACCCATGTACTAAACCAATTTTGGCCACTTGGTTTTTGATCATCAGAATAGGAGAATCCTTGTGTACAAACTGGGATATATCATTTGGTATTTCCATTGATAAATCTAAATACAAAGCGATATATTCCTGGTTACACTGTAGAAATAAAAAAAAAAAACTTTTAAATTTGATTTGAAGTCTCTCGAAATGAAAACTCTTGCTTTGAGAAACTCCACAAGGACCAATGTCTATTAGCTGCATATGATCAAATTAATCATTTCTGCAACTGCATTACGTAATAGGTAAGTAGGAGGGCTTTGTAGTTAAGTTGGTTAAAACATTCAGTACTTAAAAAGTTCCGAATTCAATTCCTCGCTCCCCGTATCGCTTATACAAATATAAAAATTTAACAAACCGTTAAATTCTGCAGGACAGTGCAGGACTTGCCCACTGCTGTTGGAGAAGCAGTTGCAAGTTTGATATTTGCTGCCTCAAGATATGTTGAACTGCCAGAGCTAATTCTGCTGGGTGGCCTGTTCAAAGAGCAATGCGGACGGGAACTCGACATTATCAGCGTCAAATTACGTCCTGGGAATCGTGTGAATTTCAGTTGATGGAGAAACTATGCATCAGGGTAGCCATGGCACACTAATGTGAAACAAGATTTAATAGGTGATATAATGAAGATCACTAATGTTCAGCTGGCGCTTCAGGATAGCCAAGGCACAACACGCCAAGTGCACGCTGATGCTATTTGTCTCACATTTACATTTACTGATCACATTATTGACGACATTGTTAACAGAACCTCACATCAGAAGTTTAAACCTTGCACAATAAAATTGAGCCCTACTTGTGGTTTGAACCTAATGTAATGTAAATTTGATGAATTTCCTAAAAGTGCTTTTCCTGATGCATGGCACAGAATGATAGCTTTGCAGACAAAGATATCAAGTATGAGCAGAAAGCTGATGGGATTCAATAACAAATTCAGAAATTCGGAGACAGAGAAGAAGAGTCCCGGGATACGTTTTTCGCTGTTGAACGGTAAGCTATCACTGGCCACGCCAACGCATTCTCAAAATGGCTCAAATAGCACTGCTGGTTCGGTTGGCTCAACCAAAAACCAAGATACATGCAGTTCAAGATATTGACTCATAGGATAGAAATACAAACCCTAGGACACCTGCCATGACTACTTTACCTAGAAAATGTACAAACGGGGATGCTGTGAACAAAGATCGCTCCAAGATGCTGGTGAAGAGTTGCCATTCTTTCGCTGGTTCGGTTGATGGACATAAAATGCCGCAGGGAATGTCTCCTGGCTCACGGCAGAGTATAGGCATCGTAATAACTTTTCAGTTTTCTGACGATTTGAGGAGGATGCAGCAATGGGGTTTATGATTTGTTTAAGGGGAATGATTTTTGCTTAAACTCTTAGGATTCCAACTACTCATTCTTCTGTGCACATTTTACTTATACAGACAGGAGAATTCTAGTTGGTTTAGTTTCAACAAATGGGTCAGAACTGTCAAGGCCTCCATGACAAATCTAACCAAAAACAGTTCGAACCAAAAAAGAAGAGAAATCCGACCATATCTACGATGTTGAATCATGTCACTGCAGATACACCTTACGAATTCTTATTCCAAGACCAATTGACGGGCCATTTTGAACTAGTAGATCGGCAAGTTGAGCCTGTGTGGATCAGTGACATACAAACATTATATACTTGCTGATTAACAAAGGTGCAAAGATGTCTGTTCTTACACAAACAAACAGATGACATGAAATAATATTACAGGAGATGCAGAAAATAACTCGTATTGTCTATCAATTCAAATGCACAAGCTATATCGGATAAACAAATGGCTATCTTTCTATCTTTTAAAGCAAAAAAAAAAAATAAATAAAAATACATAACTTACAGTGTTCTCCTTGTGTGGCAGCAACACTTGTAGGCCTTATTGTATATGAGAGCAGGAGGCTATTCCACTTGACAGCCATAAGGAATGCATGAGCTGCATTATCAAGCAATTGAATTGGTCGGTCCATGCCTCGGACACAAACAACCCAGAAACCAATGCAAAAGTATTACTACATGCTGCACTCAAAAGCCACTAGCAATGAATTATCTAAGCTCCACAGTACCAATTGACAGGAGTATTTCAGCCCTTGCGGCCAAACAATAGAAGCTTCTTAAACCCTTTTGCAGCTTTAGAAGAGTTCTCGCCGCTGTTCCACTTCTTCCTGGAGTGGAGTTGTTCCGCGAGTGTTTCATCACTTGGTGGAGTAGAGATTGCTACGTCAGAAATCTCAGAAACTGGTAAATTCTTAGTTCTTGCACCATTTTCTTCAATGTTCATGGCTGAAACAATCGAAGCTTTCTTAGGTGATCCCAGAATAGAAGGAGATACACTCATTTCCGGGATATAATTTCTTTTGTCTTCACTTAGAACTGGAGATGCTTTAGACAACTCTTCAACATCACCTGTAAACTGATTCAGTTGTTGAGCCTTCTCTTCATAAGGTACCGATGAAACCAAATTGGGAGAATACCTGTTGCAGCTTCTGTTCTCCAATGCCTCTCTTTGTACCATCAAATTTCCCTCATTCTTTTCAACAGAAGATGTGCCGTGGAGTTCCTTAGTCTCTTCCAAATGATTGATGGCAGTAGTGGATTGAGTTACAAGTGCAGCTTCTGACTTAACCGGCAGTGCTTCTGTGGATTCTACGCAAACCTTTTCCTGGATATCAGAGTTAGATGAAATTATTTGATTTGAATTCTTCAGGTCATCTTTTGCATCCGAAGGTTTGGCTTTGTTTGGACTGGGTTTCTTATTCACTGCAGCAGCTGCCTTCTGCGATGATGCAGTTGCAATCATGCCATTTGCCTTGATGCTCTGTTTTTTGGGTTGACCAGAACTTGGCGAAGTTGTTAACTTTTCAGCTACTCGCGCAGTTGCAAGGCGTTCGATGGTGGAACTCCGGATGACAGGCTTATCTGATTTCTTAGTCTCATTCTTCGTGTTAGTCATGGAAATTTTGGCAGCTTTATTTTCCACCGGGGCCTTCTTAGACGTTGCTGTATTAGAACCACTCCTTTCAGCAATTCTCTTCTGGCGTTGAATCAGTAACTCCTCCATTCTCTTTTTCCGCTCTTCTTCCTGATATATATTGGAAAAGATAGTCAATAAACCAGCAAAAAGGAAACGGAAGGGAGAGGGAGAGTGCTAATAGCAATGGACAAAAATGAAGTCTGAAGACATCTAAGAAAAAAAAAATCCATTTGGTTTGGGTAACACAAAACAAAAAGTTCAACTGCATAATGAGGCCACCAAATAATAAATCTCTCACAAATTGACAGGAAAAGGGGTAAAAAATCGTTAAAGAAATTAGTAAAAATCAGATACAGTCAGTGAAATGACTATAAAATCTTTAAAAATAGCTTAGAAAACCTTACAAAGGGAGCTTCTTTCAGTGCATACCATTTCAGATTTGCTCTTGTGGACTGTGCTTTTGCTTACAGAAGCAGGTTTCTTGCTTCTTGACATGATATCAGACTTGCTTTTCGCCATAGATCCATTTACAACTTTAGACCTGGCTTTTTGTCCAGGAATTCCACTACTTTTATCATTCCTGCCCTTACCATCAGAAGGCTGCTTAACTTCAACAGAATCACTCACTTCAGTGTTGGGATTCTTTTTATTGGCTTCAAATGATGAAGCAATAGTTTCATAATCCATTTCGGGAGTCCATGGTGCCACAGCATGCTCCACAGATGAACCACGGTCAAGCATCATGTAAAGGTCATCCGGTTCATGGACACCATACGCTTCAGGTTTATCATTTGAAGTTTCTTGCATGCCATATTCATCTTGAGTAGCTCCATTGATCTCTGGGACGAAGCTTATATCTGTCCTGAACTGAGAATCAGATTGATCAACTACTGATCGGTCTCGAACCATGAAAGAGTCATCCCCTAGAACATCTCTCTTATTTCTCTCAGCATGAATTGCGTCAACACCATCAAACAATTTCAGATCATTGTTGACATCCCGATTTGCTGATATATCTGTTTGGTTGTTCATGAACCAATCCCCTTCTTTAGGACATTTGGTGATGTACAATTCATTGACACAATCAGATAAAGTATCATGGGATTTGTTCCCAGATTCTTCAGTTCTCCGTGAAAATAATACATCCTCATATGTGCTATCTCCTTTCATGGTAATCCGGCCAACATTCTTGTCACCTTGGAAGTATTGAACGCGTGTTTTACTCTCATTACTTGAACCCCTCTCTGTCACCACAAAAAATTCATTTGAATCTGCCAATTGCTTAGTCACTTTTCCTTCACCAGAGTTCCTACTTGAAAAATATTCCTCCTCAAGCTGTACATTATGTGGTTCTGTACCAAACGAACTTTCATCCTTGTCCCTCATGAGAAGGTCTTGGAAAGCATTCCAGTTGTCATTTTGTTTTTCCCCCTCGTAAGTATTTGCAACACCACCATTTGAATCATCCACAGTGCCACGGAACTTGCCCCCACCTTGTTTCTTGTGGCGGTGTGAGGTTGATTTATGTCTCTTCTCAAATGACCCAACAGCTTCCTCTACCTGCTGTTTAATGGATTTCCCATCAACAAATCCATCCTCGTCAGATGAATTTCCCTCAGACACACTTCCTGTTTCTCCATCCCTCTTAGAGGTTATGTAATTGATATTTCGGATAACAACCTTTCTCGAGGACTTTCTCCCGTGTCTTTGCTTATGCATCTGATCATCAGGTTCACTCTCGTAACTAGAGCCAGTGTTGTCACCGGATCCATCTTCTTCTGAATTTTCCATTACTTTTTCATGAGAATGTTTCTTTTTATTCCTATAAGATTTACGATTCCTCCGACCATCAGATTCCTGATCAAAAATAGGACCAGATTCCTCCCCATTTGGAGGCCATTTCATATTCCCAGGATAATATGGCGGAACCTGCATACTGGGAAAAAGGTAACCTTGATAGGGGTGCATTTGTGGATATATAGGACCTTGAAAATTGTGCATGTACTGAGGATGGTTTGGCCATGGGTTTGGTACTTGAGTTTTCCCATCTGTTGATGATGTCTTATCCAATGCTGGCAAGTTATTATCTGCACAAGACAAGAGAAGACGTCGTTGGAGACTGAAGCTCAGTTTTTCTCATTTTACTGAACAATTTATCTCATACTACAGTAGCTTAACAATGGGTTATACGGTAGCATTTATTTAGACAAAAATGAACCGACTTCACACATTAGATTGTACAGATGTGAAATGAAAAAGACATCGGAACATCTATCAATTGTGATTTTAAACCCCGTAACGGTTGAGTTATATAATATAAAGTTGCAAAAGAAGTTTTTGGGTAAAGTAGATCACAGCCAAATTATAAGTAGAAACTGGAAAGACTCATGGATGTTCAACCATACCTTGGTTCACGTCCAGACTTCCATGACTTGTTGACTCCGACACTGATGTGTCGAGTGAGCCATTCTTCCCAACAGAGAGAATACTTTGGTTAACATTTATCATGAGATTCTGATTGGGGTCATTATCTTCTCCAGCAAGAATTATTCCTGATGTTCTCAAGTACGGCAGTTGTGGCTGAGCGCATGCCTGCATTGCTGCTATTTCTTCCATCCAAAGCCTATCTTCGTTCTTTTGCTTGTATAAATTTATGAAATTAATGCATGCTTCCCTGAAAAGAAAAAAATCAAACACAAATTTTCATCTTTAATAAAGATAACACCTGCAGAACCTCTAAACGAGAAAAAAAGACGAAAGACAGTTTCAAAACAAAAAAATTAAAAATTTATCACATTAATTTTGGAAAGAGGATAAAAGCATTTAAAATCAATTATCCCCACTAAAGGGGTGTCGTGGACGGAGAGATCTACATATGTTTTCAAAATTCAGTGTCCTAAGTCCCTAACTTGTTTTCTTTAACTAACAAAGGTCCATGTTCGAAAAACTAATGGAATACATCAACAGGTGCAAGTGAAGTCAACTTTTCATACCTTAAACGTGAAGCTCCAAAAGTATCAGCAAAAGATAAAAGATCATCTATATAGTCCAGTTCAAATCCAGCAACGAGTGCACGAGCATAAGCCATCGCTTGCTCTTTGCATAGTACTACCTTCCGGGTTTCCAAAACACGTTGAAGACGAATCCTGTTCAATACCAAAAGCTGAACAATTAATGCATAAAATGCAATATGTTGGAACCAAGTAGTTATATAATCGCATATGAACTTTTGAAAATCCAGATTACTTACTTGGAGTTCTCTTCGGGCATAGCATTAATGGTTCCATAGGATTCACTGTTCAACTAAAACACCATCACAACACAACAACCGGGTTCATTATAATTGCAAGAGCTTCAAAAGGAAACAAATCAGTACTTTTTCACATATAATTGCCTAATGATACATACCTTGATTGCAGTTGACTTATTTTGATTCCCATCCACTGTAGACATTTGACAAACCAAAAGTTAGAATACAAATTTTCTTAACTGTAGCAGTTAAAGTGATAAGGACAGAGGGTGGCCCATGCATTGCATGGTCTGGGTTGGATCGGACGTCCACGCCCTTACTCCTGTCCTGTGAGAGAATCTGTCCTAGTTTTACTCACGACCTCTATGTCATAGTGAAGCATCATGACCGCAGAGATTAAAGCATCATATTACTTGTTAATACGATAACGAGTAATAACTGTTGATATCTTACCCAAAATAGAAAACAGGATTTAATAATTGATTTTGATGCTAGAATAATTCGACAAATTGAGAATGGCGTAGATTCAGTAAATGCAGTCAGCAGGTAATGAATTGAAGAATAGACAATAACAGAGTAAATATAATGAAGGATCTCAGAATTGCACCTTCTGATTCAGTCAGTTCACTCGATTGAATCGAATTCTCAATTTGCAATATCTCCCTCTCAATGGTCACAAATCTCTCAAGAACTTCTGGTGTGCTAACAAATCGCACAAACCTGTAGCATTCACACCAATTACTCAATCTGTCAACAATGAACAACTATTTCGCACTTCACACACGATAAAACCCGCAACACATACAAGCTAAAGACCAGAACTTTACATCAAATCTCATGTACTCTGACCTCTCCAACTCCACTTTGTTCATCTCAATTGCAAATATTAGTGTTTCTTTCTATAACTAAACCAATTCTTCATCTGAATTTAGCCCGAACCCAGATCCAAACATGGCCATCAAATTTAGAAATTATCACTCAATTATACTAGACAATTTAAAAAAAAGACATACATTTGCACAGAATTACCTCTGCAAAGTGGCTTTGGTGAACCAGGAGGCACCGGAGGCCGAAGGACGAAGAATGATGGAGTACCCTCCCTTCGAGATCTGATCTTTGGCGCATTTCAAGTGACCAAGAAATGGTTCTAGAAGCCCTGAAGCCAATTTCTCGTTTGCACCTCCACCAGCAGCAAATATCACCAGTTCACATCTTTTAAACCAGAAAAAATTAAACTTTAGCAGAAACCCAGATAATGTTTTGTGTTTAATTGCTTAAACCAACATCAAACTACACGAAAGATTGTGTCTTTTTATGTACCTTGTTCTGGTTGGAGTGAGTTGAAAGAGAACATGGTCAAGGCGAGTTCTGGAGTCCATTGTGTTAGAGAGAGCGAGAGAGAGAGAGAGAGAGAGGGAGGAGAGAGAGAGTAAGAGAGTTAGGGAATCAAAATGTGAGCTTGGTGGACATGGAAATGGAGATGTTTTGTTTGAATGGGGGTGTACATATGAAGCTTAGAGAGAGAGAGAGAGTGCCAGCAGAAGGCGATGAAGCTGAGCACACATGTGGCGAGAATTTCTTCAAAGGGTTGGAGAGGAGAAAGAACCACTATTACACTATTAGACTGTTTGTGGAAGTGGATCCCACGTGACTATGCCGACGGTCGGCGGAAGCGTATCTCTCTCAAGTCTCTCTCTCTCTCTCTCACACACACACACACTGTTTTCATAAGAGAGATGAATCTAAGGTGTTCGATCTTTCTTGGACGCACTCCACTCCCCGACAATCTACATCATGGTAATGTTGGATTGTAAGAATTGGGATATTATACTTATGGACAATCATTTTCTACATTATTATTTGGCCTAAATTTTTTTATGGTTTCTTTTGATAATAATACACTTTCAATGTGATCATTGTGATCCAAACATAAAACTTTCCTTAATCTTACATTAAAACAAAAGCACAAGTGAAGTTAAAATTATCTTTTCAAGAAAGATTGATTGCTGAAGCCAAAACATCTACAAGTTGGGGGTGACGTAGGATTTGAGGGAGATTGGAGTTTGACAGACATTGAGAGGCTTGAGGCTCAAAGTGAACGAAGTTGAAGTGTGAATCTAAACATTTTATTGAAAAATAGGCTACAGATGTGCTTGAATGAGAATAGGTGAAGGACAAGTCGCGCTTAGTTTTTCAGGTATGGCTACTTCTATTTACGTTTGAAATCCTGATGTTTCTCGATGATGTACATGAGGCAAAGGTGGATGGCTCCTCGCACAGCTCCCCAAGGGTGGTTGCTAGTTGGTGTAATGTTAGTTGGGTTCTTGCTGCTTGATGTGCTGCAAGATGAGTTTGAAGTTAGTTTGAAAGGTGCCTTTTTGGGGCCTTAGGTGTAGACCTTGAGGCTCTCAATCAAAACTAACAAAATGCTAGGCGTGCCACTACTATCTCAATATAACAGATGTAGAACAAATGTGTTTTAAGCCGATCACTTACGCCCAAAGTTACTTAAACTTCTTGTTATCAAAGGATTGTCACAGATGGGTTAAGTCTACACTAAGTTCTTTTTCTTGCCTTGCAAACAAGGACTTTTAGTTCATAATCTTATATGTCCAAAAAGAGGGAGTTTAGAGCCCTTCAAACCATTTCCTCAATTTCAGTTTGTTCTTAATGAAAACAGGTGTATTAAGTTAACCAGATCTGAATGCAAATGAGGCTATTAAGTAGAAAACAGTTGGGAATAACTTGAATACATGTTGAAAAGTACATTTAGACGATAGATCTATTAAGCTAAAGTACAAACAAAGAGACACGGGCAAGATTTCACCTTGTCAGGCAAGGTTGAACTTCTTGTAGCCACTTTTCTTTGTGTTTACAAAGGTTGTAAGCTAAAAAATGATGGATGGTAAATAGGTTTTACATGAGGGAATCGATACTACAACACTAAGGAAGGTCGCAGAGTTTTTACACTAGACAAAAGATAGATTTTCTAAGGGAACTATTGCTAAAATGATTGAATATAGGTTGATTTCAGCTTTCTGGATGCAAATCTGGCTTGAGAGCAGAGTTTACATGTTGTTTGTTTGATTGGTTGAATGTCCTTATTTCTGTTGTCTCTCTTGACTTTTATAGGCAACTTGGCCCGATTGCTTTAGCTTCACTCTTGGCCGATGGCTTTCAGGGGTAGTGAGTCATCTTGTATTTACGCCTTTATGCCATTAAAAAGTGCTTTTTGGTTGGTAGTGAGTTGGTCTTTGTCACTTGTCACTTCAATCATAGGCACATGGCCTATGCCTTGGCTGAGTAGGCTTCAATTTGCTTCAGGCTTGGTAGCTGGGCTTCGAGCAAGATCATCTCGTTTTGGTGCCTTTGGGCCTTCCTTCAATTAAGCCCAATATTCAAATATTAACCCAAACACATGCTTCCAGAGTTGGTTGTTGAATGGCAACACGTATCAGTAAAAATTGAAGCTGCACATGAGAAAGGGAGAACTAATACTTCCTTTATCAGGAATCTTGTTTGTGTTTAGGAAAGCTTAACATTTATACTCTTAATATTTTAGCTATTGCTTTTATTGTGGTCTGTGAATTCAAATAATCTAATGCTCGTAACATCTAATGCTACGTAGCATGAAGTGAAACCATAAGAAATTAGATTTCATTTATAGATAAGTAATATTCTTTTGTCGGTTAGTCTAATTTATTTGTATTTCCGTCGAATAAAAAAATTTGCATTGATTTGTTCATTTGGTTCGATTTACGCCTTTTAACTTGATCTTCAATTCAAATGGCCAGTTGATCTACATCATATTTATTTATTATTATTAAAGGGAGATGGAGAGCTCAAAACTGCTGAGAGTTTCAAACCGGGGCTCATGGGTGGAAACCTAACATCATATCTATTAGAATATTGGACCACTTGATTGAGCTAACCTCGATAACATAATTTAACATGCAGCACTTCTATATAAGAACATCCCTATGATAGACCATTATGATTATGAGCTAGTAGTTGAGAAGTCCATAGCTTGATTTCTCTCTTCTGCAAGCTTGTTTACGAAGAGAGCAGTAAATATAGAAAACAAAGAGAAAGAGGTGGTCCTCTCACTCTTAGTCTGTCTCTCATGTTGGATACGTGATAATATGTGTGAGAAAAACGTGAGGAAAAAGCTACAATTGATTTTGCTTTACTGATACTGTTGAAGACTTGAAGCGAAATAGAGGGAGGGAGTGGGCAAGGAATCATAACACTGTCAAGCACCAACCGCAAAAAGCTACCTCCCATACATTGAATGTCCTACCATACGCTCTCATCCTCCTCCCATATATCCTAGTTCTATTTTTCCATTTTCTCCTTTTCTTTCCTTAAAATGATTTGGGATGGTGATTGGTGGATAATGTTACCTAATCTTCTGGTCTTATCCATTCATCATGACTACTAATTAAAAATATGATGTAAGAATGAGAAAGAAAGAAAATGGAAATAAATTGCTAGGTCTCCACTATGCTTGACAAGTTCTGACACGACCCGTTTATCCGAGACGACACGATACAAAATTAAGATAATCGTTATCGGGTAACTTGATAAGCATCTGTTAAGATAATGGGTCGGTCTAGGTATACACGTAGGTAACCTGTTACATGGTAATAAAATATTAATTTAATAATTTTATACCACTAAAAAGAAATACTATAATTAACAACAATATGATTTAATTCTGAATTGAACTGAAAGTTAATATATATATATATATATATATATGTATGTATATATATTTAAATTAAATTAGAAAATTGATGACCATTGGATCGGTTGAGATTTAATATCAGTCATCCAATGCTTTTCTTAGCCCTAAATCAGACTCTCTCTCATTTTCGAAGGCTCAAATCGAAGCAGTCGCTCTCTCTCTCCCTTGAACTGAACTTCGAATCTCAGTCTTGAACCTTAACTCTGGCCAACCCTGAGTCTACCACCATCATCTCTAATCACCCTCCACCACACCACTGTCACCACATACAACCTAGTAACCCACCACCAGTCGATCTGCTACTTTGGTCTCCGTTTCTGTCTCTTTAGATTGAGCAAATCTTGAGCCCTAATGGAGGTAATTGTTGATTCTTTCGAATTACTTTCACCATATAAGGTTTTGCTTCGAATTAGTTTTCGAATTTAGATTGGTTTCGTTTCTTCAATGGGGTTTTCCATTTATAAGGTTTGTGAAAATTGAGGGTTTAGTTTTCAAAATAATATTTATGTGACAACGTGATAAGTGAAAATTTATTAAAAAAAAAAAAAAAAAATCTTAACGGGTCATAACGGGTTGGGTCATTTTACCTGTAAGAACCCGTTAAGATAATGAGTGTGACATGACACGATCTGTTAAGATAACATGTGTTACACTAAAACAACACGAACACGACAAACATGACCCATTTACTAGGCCTAGTCTCCACATGGAAAAGAAGAATAAGAATGAGTAGGAAATAAAAAATTGAAGCGAGAATGACTCTCATTCATTTCATTTTCATTGTAACCATGCTCTAAAGTCAGACGGGAAAGATTGGAAGCTACACATTGGCTTATAAAATTGCGGATGTGACTAAATTTTGGGGTCTTGGTTCTTTTTGATCGTTTTGTGTGCATGGGTTTAGAGAGTAAGATTATTATGGTAGACTGATGGATCAAGCTTTATGTGTAGCTCGACTTGCCTAATTCATTATCATTTTTTTTAAAAATAAAATAAGGCATTATTGGCTCAACAAACATATTTATTTGAATCTCGTCCATGCATGAAAGTTTTCAAGGTATATTTGTTTTCTTCTTATGGTGTGGACCTTGCAACGCCAATGAGAGACTGAAATAATTGGCTTTGCCAAGTGCCATTCCAATTATTCACCTTTAATGCTATTGCCTAATAAGCCATAAACCTTCTTTCATTCGACATTTTATATTGCACAGAGCTGTACTTGGCATAGAGGAATTTCAAGGTATACTACTTTATTTTCATAAATCAAATGTAAATTTTAGTTTAATAAAAGATGATGGAATAATGGGATTTCAATCATCGTGGGTCGATTCCAACAGCTGTTTATGGTTTTATATGCTAACAAGAACATCCAACAATTTATTAGTCACAACGATCACCATTCACCTTTCTATTATGCATTTTAAAATTATTTTCTTTAGCTTGCTCCAGATCCAGAACTTAAGCCAAATTTGATGATTTCAAAAAATAATTGAGTACCCTCCAACTTCTATGTGGCATCCCAAGGCTAGATGGATGTAAAGAAATTGAATTTCGAATTCCGGAGTTTATTTTATTTTTAATTTGTTTGTTTCTTTGTGCATTTATATTGCCCCACACTACATTAAAAAATTC